TTGCAAATACTGAACTCTATCACTATAGCAAGAAAACAGCCACAGACAGTATGCAAACAAATGCACTTGACTTTGTTCAGATAGCTATTTATGGGCACTGAAATTTGAATTTCATATAATTTTCCTAGGTCATGAAATATCCCTAATTTTTTTTCCAACCATTTTTTTTAAAAGATTTTATTTATTTATTTGAGAGAGAGAGAGAGAGAGAGAGCAGGATGAGGAGCAGAGGAAGAGGGACAAGCAGACTCTGCACTGAGCAGAGAGCCTGATGCGGGGCTCAATCTCATGACCCTGAGATCATGACCTGAGCTGCAACCAAGAGTCGGACGCTCAAACTGATCGAGCCACCCAGGCTCCCCATTTTTTTTTTCCAACCATTCAAAAAATGTTAAAACCATGTATGTCTTATAAGTCATACAAAACAGGTAAAGGGTCAGATTTGGCCAGCAAGACTTAATTTGCCGACCCCGGGTCCAGACTGCTGCTATTCAAAGTGTGTTCCCTGGACCAGCAGCATCAGCATCACTTGGGAGCTTCTTAGAAATGCAGGATCTTAGGCCCCTGCCTCAATCCTGTTCAGTCGGAATCTGCATTTGAATAAGATGCTCTGGGAATTCACATGCCAGCCAAGTTTGAAAAATCCTGGTCTAGACACAGAATTCTGCAGTCAGACAAGGCTGGAATACCATCCACTGGCTGGCTATAGAATCTACACAAATCGTTTGACCCCGAGAGACTCCGTTTCCTTATCTATTAAAACAGGTAAAAATAACTGCGCCATCTCCAAGGACTGCTGTCAGGGCAAGACAAGAAAGACACAGAACGCTTGCTTGACATTGTCAGAGCTTTCAAAACGGTAGCTACTACTACAGAAGCGTACTATTTTTTAAGGTCATTGAGAGAGGAGCATGCTTATTCAGGGTTTACAAACTCCAATCACTTCCAGTATGGGACAGGTCACCTAAATATCTGAAGAGGCCCTTCAGTGCAACTGGAATGTCAGAGACGACGGCAAGCCGAGGTCACATCCACCTGAAGAAAGACCACTCATATGCTGCCAAGGTAGCAAAGGAGGCTCCTTGCTACTACATCCTTGCATTTTCAAAGAGAAGCTGGAAACCTGGATTTTAACGTTATAAAAAGCCCTCTTACTTAACACACTGTGCAGACCAAAAAAAATCCACCTGCGGGCTGGATGTGACCAGAGAGCCCTCTGCCTTACAACAGAGAGATAACAAGAGGCAGTAAGTCACAAGAAAATGAACCGGGGTTTTAGAGCTAAATTCTGGCTCATTCTCCCTAGCCAGGAGACCTGGGACAGATTATTTAACAATTCGGAGCCTCGGTTTCCTCATCAGGGAAATCCGCACATCTACCTTGGAGAGTCTGGTGAGGACGAACTAGAAATGTACGTAATAGGTGGAGGCACAGCTCGGGACAGGGTAAGCGCCCATCCTTGTCATGGCTGATGTTTTGGCGTTATTATTACTGCTTTTATTCATCGAGCCTTGGCATTTGCAGGGCAAATCTTCCCCGTAAAAATGGCTATTTTTCTCTCCCTGCTCAAACTGGTGGCAAACAAGCAAGCTCAATTAACCCCCACTGAGCATGCTGTCTCATAGGACACGGAGAGCTTAGTTATTAATGATCTCGTTCTGGCCGCAGTCCATGAAGATGCCTTAATGTTCCTCTTAATGAAAATCCCCTCTGGTGCCCGGCCACTGCGGGGCTGGCTCCAGGCTGCCCTGAGGTGCTACTGCTTTGTGGCCGGGTCACCTGCAGGGCAACAGTGCTTACCTTTGCTCTCCACCTGCCTTAGATCAGGTGGAGGACAGCACTGTGCTTGACAACTGTGAGCCCTCCTAGGGGTTTTTTTTCCTTTAGAAACCCTACAAATCCGCACATTTGCCACCTACAGGTGTGGGTGATAACAGAAATGGGGAAAGAGTATTGTAACTCAGGGAAATCCCCATGAACTCTATGAGCCTTCCACGGGACCTTTGGCATCTTTCCTCACACAGAGGAAGCCCCAAGGTACAGAGAACAATTCGTTATTTACAGGGCTAGGTGTTAGAACTCCCCATTTCTCTCTCTCCTTAAGGTGCACACGAATCGGCTGGGGATCTTGTTAAAAGCTCAGATCTGGTTCAATAAGTCTAGGGCAGGGCCTGCGATTTTGCGTTTCTGGCAAGCTCCCAGGAGATGGTGATAACGGCTGGTTCCCGCCCCAGGTTTGAATCCACAGGGTTCCACCTCCTCCACTTGCTTCATCTAGGTCCCTGCTCAAATGTCACCTCCTCCGAGAGTCCTTTACTGACCACCTTATCTAAAATGTAATTATTTGTTGAATGAGGGCAGGAATCCTGTCTGGTGTGTTCTTTGCTGTATCCCCAGCACCAGCGGAGAGCCAGGCACAAAACAGGCACTCAAATATTTGTTCAGTGGAGAGAGCCCACTTTGACAGCGGAGGGAAATGAAACTCAGGGAGCCCAAACCATTTGCTGAAGGTCACACAGCTTGTCAAAGCCAGAGCAAGATGGCGGGGCCAGCTCCGTCTGGACTTCAAAGCCTTAGCTCCCTCCACTACACCAGAGGAGGAAGCAAGGTTTGTTTGTAACACGCTTCCTCCCCTAGAACGTTCCTACATCCAGTACCTTCGAGCTGGATGCAGGGCCTCCATTCTGTTCTACTCTGGGGAGGTGCCTGCTGGTGGGCAGTGGATCGGAGAGGACCAGTGTGGAAGCAGAGATGCGAGAGGAGAGGCCACGCGGTAATGTTTCGGGTGCCTTGGTACTCTGGGGTAAGGGAAATTCTCTCTTTAGGTCAGACCCAAAGGAGCCTTTCAGCGTCCAGCAGGCCAGCCTTTTGCTCCTCTCAGGGCACAACGGTCTCTCCCAGGGGCTCACAGCCTCCGCAGTCAGAGGAGGGGAAAGTGAGCACCGTGGGCTCCAAAATGCCAAAAAAGAACATTGTGCTGTCCCCCAGGAGTGGCTGTCCCTCTTTTCCAAAAGGTCACCAGAAAACACGCCCATGAGGGAAAAGGAGCAAAAGCAAGGAGCTGCTTCCTTTCCAGCAATGGGCGGAAATACCATAAAAACCCCATTCAGGGAGCCCCAGTGAAGCCTTTCTGCTGTCAATGGGGAAACTGCTTCTGCATGAAAACCCGTCTCAGCCTCATGAAAGGGTCTCTCTCCAAAAGAAAGGCTCCCTCATGGGCTGAAAAGACAACACTTGTTTTCCCCGTCACAAAAATCAACTGGATTAAAACGGCTGAAGGTTCTCCAAGAAACTGTGGTCTTGAACGTCTACCGTAACCTGGACACCCAGCAGCCTCAAACGGGCTACTGAGGCCTCCTCCCAAGCAGCAGTTGAGAGGAAGCTAAAAACATAACAAACGTAGCCACTAGTTACCGTAAACCTGATCCTGGGCAAATCATGGGTCTTCTGTATCTCATTTAACCCCTCCAATCATGCTGTGAGCTGAGTACCACGATTATTCCCACCTGATGGTTGGGGAAACCAAGAACTAGGGAGACCAAGTGACTCACTGGAGGCCAGAGGTCACACAGAAGGAGGCGCGTCAGGCCACAACCTCCACACTGCACACCACCCCACAGGCCTCTGGTCAGAGGTGACCCCAAGGCTCCTGAGGAGGGGAGGAGCTGGGAAAGCACTCTCCTGTTCTTGACTCTGCCTTTCCCACCCCCGTGAGAACACCAGAGAGATGGGAAAAGAAGCCAGCAGTCCTGCCATACTGGACTGGGTTTACAAAGTCAGGCCCCTACACCTCTTCCATGGATCCCCTACTCTCACAGTTGGGATGTGCAAGGGGCCAGCTCAGACCACACCTATTTGGGCTACAAAACTGGCAGTGATGGATGCCTCTTTCTGCCCATTACATATTTATAAGGTCGCCTGGCCTTGCCTCTGACACAGAAGTTATTAAATGCTTGGGAGCCATAAGGGCTGCGCTCAGCGCCTTGAAACAAAGCAAAGAGGCTACCAGACCCGTCGGAGGCAGGAACAAAAGCATTTCATTTCTGAAGGAGCCGGCTGGGAGTTTCCTTGGAACTGGGTGCCCAGCACACATTACCATTCGGGAGAAAGTAGAGAAGCACACACAGAGGGGTAAAATAAAATCAAAGCAGGCTTCTCCCCCCTCCTTGTGCCCAGAAACCACCTCTTCAAAGGGCCATATGAGTGGTGGGGAAAAGGGAAAGATGCACTCATCAAAGAGAGAACACGCCAGGATGTCGTCTCCGACATTCTCCTGTCACTGGTTCTTCCTTTTCGTGAAGTCGCCAAGAAGGATCCGCCTCATCTTACATCATCAAACTGAGAGTCTGCAAGGCTGCACCCCAACTTTTTCCAACCAGAGCCCCAGCAGCCAGATGCAACGGGAGGGCACCCCGATGCCGCATCTCCCAAACATAATCATTCCAATCCAGGCTGGGGCTGCCTGGAAGTCAACATTCACGGCCCATTAATAAGAAACATCTGGCCACCGAAGAGGGTTGACACAGCGCAGGCGGGCAGTAGTGGATTTGTGGGTGGGACCCAGAGCTACAGGGGCTGAATTGAAAACACCAGCTAGTCTGGGGTATCCTCCACACACTGCGCCGCGCTGTGGCCCTTGGAGACACTGCCATGCCCAAGTTGAATCGTTTGGGGCTGAGCAACTTAGATACACAGAGTGTGGGTAGGAGGGACTCAAAACTCTCCCATCAGGGAAATGCAGCCTGAGCCCAGCTCTCCTGCATCCCCCAGTGTCTGGCCACCACTTCCACCTTTCAATATTTGTAGCAGATGTAGCCCCAGTCTTAAAGGAACAGCCTTTGCATTCTTTCCATGTGACTTACAAGTGAGATTTACAAAAGGAGATAAATATCGGCGTTTGTGTGTGTGTGTGTGTGTGTGTGTATAGATATAGATATGTTTCCCCACTCCCCACCCCCGGAATTGTTATGCCTTTAGGAATGGGATTTAATGCATCCTACCTCCATTTATGCAAGGCGAACCCGGGGCACTGGTCACCACAGGCGTTACATGGCTGGCCTCTCTCTATCCGCCCCAGTCCAGTCAACTTCAAAACAAAAAGACAACACAACCATGTTTCCACCACGGGGGCTCCCTCCAAAGCCCCACCGGCGTCCCAGGCAGAATGACCTGCCCCTCCCACCCCACCGTATCAAATTTGCCTCCAACGTTCCTCTCCGTTGTGGGGGATGCGGGGCGGGGTGCTGCCGGCGCCCCAGGGGTGGTCTCCCTCGTGGCAGGGGTGTGTGGACCCGGGCGGGCTACCCTCTGGCGTGGGCACCAAGCCACCAAGAAATGGTCATGGCTGGGGCTTTGTCTCCCCCAAACACCTTGGTCACGGGTTTCTAAGAAACAAAAGCAAGACCTTTCTGTTCCCCAGGGTCCCCGAGAAGCGACCATCGCTCATTCGCCTTGGGCCATGCCGGTGCTCCCGGGAAGGGGGCAGCACAGGACACCCCAAAACACAGCCCAAAGTCAAGTCCGCGGCTAGAGCTCCAAGAGGCTGGACGGTGGAGCTTGGATACTGTGATTCCGATCTGCCTTACGGGAAAAGGCGAGGGAGGGGGCTTTCCCGGGCGCCCCCACACTGTGACACACAGGGCCACCGCTCCAGGTCTCGCTCTCGCCCAGACTGGGTTTCCGGACTTAACCCCTTCGGCGCCTTCCAGCGCTCCCGCGCGCCCCGGACCCCCTGCCCTCGGGGCCGGCTTACCTGGGGCCACAGGTGCGCGGCCGCCGCGCGGGGGGAAGCTGGGCAGGGGCGCTCGCGGAGGCCCGGGGGCCGGGGGACCCAGAGATCGGGCCCGCTCAGGTGGGGGACACTCACCGAGCGGCTGGAGAGTCTTTTCCGGGAGCTCCGGCTGAACATGGCCGGGCGCCTCCTGCACGCAGCGCCGTCGGTCGGTCGGTCCGCACCGCGGCCGGGAGGGCGGGTCGCCTGGGCGGGCACGCTCGGCGGCCCGTGGCCTGGCTGTCTCCGCCTCGCCGCCCCGGGCTCGCTCCGGAGCGCACGCCTCCCCCGCCTCCCTTGCTGGTGCCTCTCGCTCTCCCGCCCGCAGGTCCCTCCCTCTCTCCCGGCATCCCCCCGCCTCCCCGGGTTCGCCCCGCGGGCCGCGGGCTCTTCCCATCCCTCCCCCGCACCGGCTGCGCCTCCTCTCTCCCTTCCCCGGCTTCCCCGCCGGCCGGCCGCCGCCACCTCCGCTCCCGCACCTGGGCCCGCCCACAAGGGCTCGTCCCTCACCCCGGGCGAAGTTCGGGCGGGGACCACTTGAAGGCCCCCTGGGGCTGTGGCCTGGGTAGCGGCTGGAGGTGGAGGGATGGGGGGTTACGTTTTTCTAAATGAAGGTAGAATTCACATACAGTAAAATTCCCCTCTTGCGGCGCACAGTTCTGCCAGTTTTGACGAATTCACACAGACCTGTTAACAGCCAGCACAATCAAGATCTAGAACAGTCCCATCGTCCTCCAAAATGGACTATTTTAAAAAGTTTTGTGACATGCCTGGAATGCGTTCACTAAGTACTGGTAGATGAGGAGAAGGAGGACGACAGATGCCCCCACCCGCCCAGCGCCTGGAATACAGGCTCCCTAAGTAGCTGTTGACCCCTTGCAGGGCAAGCTTTGACGCGCCCCCTCCCCCCACCACGTGCCCGTGCTTTTCCCACCACCTCGTAGCTGGTGACCTTCCCATGTCAACGGACTTTGTGATTCTATCTCCTTATCGAATAAAAAGAGATACAACAAGGGGCGCCTGGGTGACTCAGTCGTTAAGCGCCTGCCTTCGGCTCAGGTCAGGATCCCAGCGTCCTGGGATCGAGCCCCGCATCGGGCTCCCCGCTCAGCGGGAAGCCTGCCTCTCCCCCCTCCACTCCCCCTGCCTGTGCTCCTCTCTCACTGTGTCTCTCTCCGTCAAATAAATAAATACAATCTTTAAAAAAAAAAAAAAAAGAGATACAACAAGAGTCTTAATCTCAGTGTTGTTGAGAGAGATGAGTGGGCACAGGTAGATTTGTTATAGATGTTATAACAGGCACAGACTAAGGGCTCATTAGAGATTAGCTGTCAAAGAACAAAAAAGTTTGCAAGTCTGAGCGGTATAGGCCTTGGTGTCCACTTCCCATTGATGTTTCAGCTTAAACACCACCTCCCCTGAGAAAACTTCCCTGACCCCCTATTGTAACATCTCACACACAGACACTCCCTCATACCACCCACGGCATACACTGAAATGATCTTGTTTACTTATTTGCCCTCAGCCACGCTTGTTCACTTCAGTGGCTCTAGGTCCTCTAACAACACCTGCACAATGTGAGGACTCCATAAATGTCAAATGTCTTGTCATTGTCAAAAAGATCTTTCTCTGGGCTTAGGCATTGAGGCTGAGAGCTGAAAAGCTGTGTGCTTGGGCTAATAGCAAATTAGTGGCAAGGCCAGTCTAGCTCTACCCCAAACGCAAAAGAACGGGGACGTGACCCAGCTTAGATACTTGCTGTGTGTCAGTGTTCGCTGATGATCATCAATGCCTAGAGAGTAAGGTTTGATTTGAGTTTCAGGCCAGAACAAGGGTGAGGCAAGTGCGGAGTGAAATTTACAGGCGGACCAAAAAACTCAGTAATTGAGATAAATAATACTTTCATGCAATATTTTAAAGAATCATAATTGATGCAACAAAGTCAACATTTTTTATTTATTTATTTTTAAAAGATTTTATTTATTTATTTGACAGAGAGAGAGACCGCGAGAGCAGGAACACAAGCAGGGGGAGTGGGAGAGGGAGAAGCAGGCTCCCGGCTGAGCAGGGAGCCCGATGCAGGGCTCGATACGGGGCTCGATACGGGGCTCGATGCGGGGCTCGATGCGGGGCTCGATGCGGGGCTCGATCCCAGGACCCTGGGATCATGACCTGGGCCGAAGGCAGACGCTTAACGACTGAGCCACCCAGGCGCCCCAAAGTCAACATTTTAAATAAAGACCAGATCCCACCCTATACTTACCTGTCCCTCCTTCACTCACCTCACCATAATCCTAGCTCTGTAAAAAATAAACTCCCAACGCTTAGGGACCTAAAGGGTAGACTCCTTTATATTGCTTTTATGTATTTACCCAACACCCCCCAGCACCAGTAGATGGTATACTTGCAGAGAGTAAACGCCATGGCTCATTCATCTCTTTATTTGCACAGGCCTAGCACAGGCTCTGGCTCATTTCAAATGCTTGACAAATGTTTGTTAAATGACTAAAGAGAAGGCAGTAGCTTTGGTAGAGGTGGGGGGCAGGGGTGGTAGCAATTAAAACGCCAGGTGAATAATCAGTACAGATGCAGAAGGCTCACCTGGCCTTCTCAGCAGGGCTGCTGCATTCCCTGCTCCATGCTGCACTGTGCATGGCCTTCTAACTGGCAGGTGTGGGTCGGGAGGACCATGTTCTCGCTGTGGATATTGCCTACTTGTATTTTAATTATGAAAACTTGTCGGTAAAGGTCAGGAACAAAACCAATGCATTACAAGTTTCTAACAGATGGAAGGAACGTATCCTGAGGAAGCAGCACCTTCTTCAAATTCCCTGGAAGGAAGTACAAGGGCAGGGGGCAATCGTCCTGCCTCTGGATAGACGTGGCTGGTGAAGGATGTAACAGTAATTATGCCCTTGGGGAAAGTGGTGTGGGTGATCTGGGCATTTCACTTTTGTTTCTCGGTTAAAGAGGGGAGGCCAAGAAGATGTAAGGTCTCCACATGTCTGATCGAGCCACATGCATGGGGTCAGTTTCAACTCCTAAACAGAGCACCAGGGGCTTCCCCTGACATCGGCCATAAAAAACATCCCTGACATCGGTTGGGCGTCCAACTCTTGATTTCACTCCAGTCATGACCTCAGGGTTGTAAGATCAAGCCCCGAGTCACGTGCTTTCTTTCTCTCAAATAAAGTCTTAAAATAAAAAACCCTGAAATTAATGTAACATTGCATGTTAATCATACTTTGACTTTTTTTTAAAAAGCAGTAAAACTAAAAAAATTTTTTAATTTTTTTTTTAAAGATTTTATTTATTTATCTAATAGAGACACAGTGAGAGAGAGAACACAAGCAGAGGGAGTGGAAGAGGGAGAATTGGGCTTCCCGCTGAGCAGGGAGCCTGATGCGGGGCTCGATCCCAGGACCCTGGTATCATGACCAGAGCCAAAGGCAGACACTTAATGACTGAGCCACCCAGGCGCCCCTAAAAAAAAAAATTTTAAATGACCCCCTGCTGGACGAGTCCCCCTTGGCTTATCTCCTCTGAACAGGAGGCTGTTTTCCATGGGCTTACTCACACCTGAGGCTCACGTTTGAGAAGCAGGGTCTTACTTCTCTAGTCAACAAGCACTTTATCTTGCTTAGGAAGACAAAGCTTGGTAACCCGGGAAGGAAAACTCAATTTCACTGTCAGCTGTAGGTGAACAGTAGACAATTTTATTTTGCTTTATATTGCTGCATTTGCCCTTCATAGACCTCTTTGATGTGTGCTCTTTCCTCATCTCTCAAGCAGTGCAATTACTGATGGAACCTGGAGAAATCCGCATACATGATTACTGACATGGAAAATGCCTTTGCTATCATACAAAGTGGGAAAACAAAACCAGTAGAGGCTGTCTGGCTTTAATTCGTCTCAAAATAGGCATCAAGAGACTGGAAAGAGACACACAAAATAGGTTTTTTTATTTTTGCCTTTTAAATGTATTTCCTGTAATGAACATGTGCTCATTTTATAATCAGAAATGTAAAATTAGGGGCGCCTGGGTGGCTCAGTTGGTTAAGCAACTGCCTTCGGCTCAGGTCATGATCCTGGAGTCCCGGGATCGAGTTCCGCATCGGACTCCCTGCTCAGCGGGGCGTCTGCTTCTCCCTCTGATCCTCCCCCTCTCATACTCTCTGTCTCCCATTCTCTCTCTCAGATAAATAAATAAAAAATCTTTAAAAAAAAAATAAAAAAAAATAGAAATGTAAAATTATTTATCTGAATGGAAAATTGTGCCCTTGTTGCCTGAGGTCTTCTAATACCAAATCCGGAGCTGGTGTGGCAAGAAGCTGCTGGTCTCCCCTCCGTTCGGTCTATGCATGCCTGTCTTCTGTGGTGGGATTTTCTATTTTTTTCTTATATGAATCTGAGACGATGAAGCCAGGTGAAGCCTCTGACGTCCCGTTGGCACACACCTGCAGCAAACTTTAGGGATGTGTGCACACAGTGCTTCCTGAAATAGGGACTAAGAACACAGTATCGCAACACAGGCTCACCCAGGTGCACATCTCCTGCTGTTAAGCTACTGGAAACAATCCTGAGTGTTGCAAAGGGCAGAAAATCTCCCTGAACGGGCAGCCAACACTCAGAAGCTCCATGAAAGCATCCCCCTAATCAGAAGTCTACAAAGAGTCTTTTGAAAAAGTGTGGCAGGCCATGGGTGGTGAGGGAGTTGGCAGGGGTGACAGGAGAGCTGAGTTTCTCTCGGTAGTGGGATTATAAGGGGCTTTCCTCTTTCATCCCAACCAGCTCTTCTGTAGTCTACACATTTTCTTGTAGGAGCATGATATGGACATATATAATCAGAAAAAAAAATTAAATCAGGAGAGAACTGTAATAAAGAGTATTGGTGGGCTAAGTATTTCACAGGGCATCAAGTCATCTTACATTTATAAATATATTCTCATACATGTAAAGCAAAAATATTTGAAATGATAAAAGGTACTATGCTAAGCATCCTATGTTTTCTCTTCAAAACTCCTTAGAATCCTGCAGAGCCATTGGCCCAGCTTATCCTAAAAATTAAATTACAAAGAAACCACAAACACGTGGTTAAAGAAAATTGTGACAGTGCTGTTTCTAAGAGGAAAAAGAAAAATCACAAATGACCTAAATACTTAACATTAGAGGATCGAGGATCTGTTAAATGAAGAATGGTGCATCCACCTAATGGAATTCTACTCAGACATTAAAAGTAATATAGAAGGTAGGGAAATTTGTATGAATATTGTTCCATTTGGAAAGCAGGTTACAA